CATCGTGCGCGAGCTCGGCCGGTGATCCGTCGATTTCTAGAGAGGTATCTTCATAGAGCCGTACACGGACGCGACGTTCGCTGACGCCTGAGTTGGCGGGGCTGACGGGTTGGGCGGCGACCCCGGCACCAGATTGTAGGTACATGAGTCCTAAGGGTTGTGTAGCGGGTAAGCCCATCTTTGAGGCTATGACGGAGAAGAGAGACGTTACTCGTGCAAGAGTTGAATCATGAAAAGTGGCACGAAATTCAACTCCGAATTCAGGACTTGAGTCAATCGATATCTTCAAGGGAATGAACAGTGTCGTGGCCTCCGTTGACGCAATTTCAACGACGAGAGTGTTGCTTTGCGCATGGTCGTCCGTATATGGTCGAGCGTACGACACATATCCCGCCTTCAAAACCGCACTGCTGCTTGCCGTCGATGGGGCGGGGCTTGCAACACTGTTGACGAGTAGAGGGTTTGGTGGGACGCTTGTTGACTGCGCACCAGATACGGTCTCCGAACCCGACTCGCTTCCTGAACCAGACTCGCTGGAGTCTTTATCTGGAGTGAAGGAGATGCCCGATTGTCGAATGTCTTCAAGACGAATTAGAATCTCAGACTCTTGCCGTTTTAGGTTATACGATATGTCGCAGGGTATGAGCTTTTGCTCTAGGCCCTTGAGATGGAAGTATCGCGCATCCCTCAGCAGGCGAGAGCGATGTGCGTCGTTCCGGATCTCGATATTGTAGCCCTGTAATAATTGTATCAGCTCGCGAAAGACCTCCCCATCTCTGCTCGGCACCGAAGGAGGCTTGATAGACGGCGGTCGAAGCAGGGCATCGCGATCTAGTCCCGGAAACGCCTCGTTTGGCGTCGAGAAAAAATGCGCAAAGCCTAACGAGAAATAGTTCGGGCTGTCTCCCGGGGCAGAGAAGAGATCGCGTTGTATCTGGAAGGGTGTTCCTCCGATGCGCACGAAGATGTCGGTGCTGAACAGCTGTTTGGTGAGACGAGGCACTGCTGATGTTAGCATCTATTCCTTCCGCTATTTGGCTGAGCTTACGCGAGTAAAACTGCGCATCTGCATACAGCTTGACGAAATGTTCGCCATCTCTCGGTGTGATGTGGTAGCCCTGGAGGTGGAGCGCGATATCGCGAAACGTATCCGGGTCGCGGTCGATGTACAGCGTCCTCACGTCACCAGCACGACCGCCATTGTCATGCAGTTGCTGGCCGAAGAAATGCGAAAAGTGTGAGGGTGCTCTAATAGTCTTAGTTGCTGTTCCGTTTTGATCTCTTCAGCGTATACTCACCATCTGACGAAATCGACGCTCCTGATAGTCTAAACAGCTCCGACCCAATCTGTATCGGGAACACCTTGCCGGCAGGGAGGATGTCGAGTGCGCCGGGCGACCCAGGCACTCTACGTGGTGTTGAGACATCGATGACCCTTCCCTGTGGCCCCGTACCTTTACTCTGCTCCTTCTGTCGCTCTGTATTTGTGTTCTCTCGTGACACTTGTCGGGGTGTGGCTTCGGAGGTGGCAGCGGTGCGCGTCATGGTCGGCGTTTGGGCGTCAGCCGGGGCTGTGATGGCTGGCGAAGCAGCTGAGGCGTCGGATGGTTGTCGCGACACGTTCTGGCGCTTCGGGGGGTTCTCCGCTGCGGCACTATCTTGCTGTGCGGCTGAAGGAGATTCTGTGTCGGCCTTCCTCTTCGTACCTGCTTGAACAGCCGCTTGTTGTTGCTGTTGTACTGGAGCTGGTGGCAGCGGAGGCGACAGTTGGTTCTGGCTTTGCGCGACATTTGGCGCTGGAGTGACGCTCTGGCTCTGTGAGAAGGCCTGGTACGCCGCTTCGCCTGCGGAGACAGGATGCGGGATGTTGAAGTTGTTTATGGCATCTGCCTGGCCTGGGTATTCTTGGACAAGTTCTCCCTGCGGCTCGTACTGGTCGGTGAAGTCGGTGAAGTCGAGCGCGTCCCAGCCGGTAGGCACAGAGGAGCCAAAACCCAAGCCTGCGAAGTGACCTGCCATCACTTGGTGCTGTGCCGCAGTGTAGTCGTGATACCCCGCGGTGAAGTCATGGCTATGCGCCTGGCTCGCGGCCCCGGTCGTGTTTGCATCGTGCTCGGCATGATAGGCACCGTAGAAGTGCTGCGGGTGCTGTTGCGGAGCTCCACCTGCTTGGTCATAGGTTTGAAATGCAAAATCGCGAGATGATGCGCCCGGGCGGTCGGACATTGGCTAGCTACACCGGAAATCCTTCGCATTAAGCGACGAAGAACCTCAATGCAGAAGCAAGTTGCGACTTGCACAGAAGGAGGAATGCCAGCCCTGCGTTGCTGATGAGAAGCTGACCAACAGCTCTGTCATGGGTAGCTTGCGGGTTCGTTACTCGATGCGGTTGGCTGCACCCGGGAAGGCTCTGGAGGAACACGAAAGAAGAACGTAGGGGATAGCGAAACCTCGTGGCAACGTCGCTGAGTTAGCGAAATAGCCCAGCTGGACAGTGTCCAGTATATATGAAGGCATTGGAAGCTACTGATGGTGAGGCTGAGAGTGCCCAGGAAAGGCTGACATGCTGTAGCTGTGCAGGTGGAAGCTGGCAGTCGCGAAGCGACGCGGCATCACCGACAGCAAGCGGGGCTGACGTGAGAAGGCCCCATCGCACCAACATCGCCCCGTTACGCTCACTGAGCGTCTCCAAACCTGCGTCCTTTAGAGAAACATATCGCTCAATGGTCTCCCGTTGCAGATGCCATGACAGCAATTCGGCTCCCGGTTCCATTGTTCGATATCAGAACATCACTCTCAAGTTGGGTGATTACCTCCCGGACCCACCAAGTCAAACGGATTGTTCTTATCTCAATGCCATGTATACCTCTAAAGTCGCACCAACATCGCCCCGTTGCGCCCACTGAGCGGTATGCAAACCTGGGCCCAAGATACCTGAGACACGTCCTGAATCCAGGCGGCTATTCCAACGACGTGTCAATTCCCAAATGCCTTGGAAACAAATGTTCCACGTATCAACACACCGAGTTTACAGCCTATGGCATACCCAGGTACCATTACAATATCATAGCTGTACAAACAGACTAGCAGCACCTTATTCAAGAAAAAAGCTAGACACCCTAGAGCCTACGTTAATGTCAAGTTATGTGCCTTACACCTTTCTATGCTAATGTAGGCTCTATCGTAATATTCAAGTTATACACTTTATATCTTTCTATGTTAAAGTAGGCTCTACGTTAACGCTAGATCATGCACTTTGCATCTTGCTAGATTAATGTAGACTCTAGAGTGTTTAGTTTTTCCCTTGAATAAGGTAGCAGCTTGACGCCACTCGCCGCATCTAACTCCGTCTACCAATTGTCAATCGGCTTTGCTAAGCAAAATCCAGCTTGAACCGTTACCATTCCTATAGTCCACTTGTCGCAGACGCGACATATTTCCGCGATTGGAGCTTTAGGGACAGTAACCCCGTGGGCCGATCACGAGAACTCTCTGCCATCATGCAAGACTGGAGACAGTACCTGAACAAACTTAGTTGGAGCCAACCTATCTACTAGGATATTAAACGTTAACAACGTCGATTGCGAAGACTAAAAAGACAAAAAGCTATTTCCAGGAGACGCGACATATGTCTATAAGTGCCAGGACAACTAGGGAAGCAAGTTGATAAGATGAAGCAACCTTTCCAATAATGCAACGGGGAGACATGACAAACAAATGATGAATATAGATTATGTCTCTAGCTATGTGACTGATATTGGAAGCATTTTACATGTGGTAGAACTGATAACATCGCCTTAAATCTCACAACAAACGATATCCACGAGATATGACCCTCCGTTGACACCTCCTCTGCTTCCACTGAGTTGTTCTACAGCTCATCGCGTACTCTTGCTGACCTTCTTAGTTACCCGCTGCGACCCGGCCGTTCCTGGGGTGGCGTCGTCTGAACGACGCTTAATGCGGGCCGGTACTAGACATCCATGGGTGATCTGGAGATGAGCTTCAAGTTGGAGATCGTCCATTTCCTCCTCTTTCGTACAGGTCAACGGGAAGCATGGGCAGGTGACGAGCGAGTCGCCAACAGATTTGAGGTGGCCGCGGATATGCTTTGGGTGGCCCTCGCGGGTGAATGTCGCGATGCGTTCGTGGGCTGGAAGAGACTCGTTATGAGCACAGAAAGGGCACTATCTTGGTATCAGATCGCGTCCCATCTTTACTCCACAGTATCCGTGCATCATGATCATGGTTTGCACCGTGTCTAGATGCGTGACTGCGTGAGAGATGGCCTCGACGGGGTTGACTAGCCATTAGTCACAGATCCGACACATTTCTGCGACTGGAGCCTTGGAGCCAGTGATCCCGTGGGCCGACCACAAGTGGACTGTCCTGTTTTGCTCATCGATGAAGTCCGGACCGTCTCGAGCGAAGCGGCCAATCCGCGGATTCACGGCACAGCCGCCGAAGTAACAAGTTATGTGATTGTCACCGTCGTCATCCCGCTTGGTCATGTAACGGATGTGGCTTCTCATGTGCTCGCCGCGCTCGTCGTGTGAGGTGAACACGGCTGCACACAGTATGAACTTCCCCTTCCGAGCTAATTAAAATTGGCAAAATACAGTTAAAGACGACGCCATGTTAAGGATACGTGCTGCTTCTTGGGTGGCAGCTTCTTTTGCGCAAGCGTAGGTATGTTTGTGTGCGTGATGTAGCTTGGTAAGATCCTTACCGCAAAAGCGGCAGTTGTAGCTCCTAGGGAACAGCTCCTCCCTGATGTTAAAGGCATCAATTAGGTGGCAAATGCTGTACTATTGCATCAAGACAGCATATACCTGTCCCTCTGTTTCGCACGCACTTACGTTCTCTACTATATTATTGTAGGCTAAGTGGCCCTTAGTGGACTAAGCATATTTTTTAAGGGAGCGGAGGTTGTTAAGCGACTAACCGTGCAACGCCATCTGCCTAGAGTTATTAAGGGTAGTGTCTATCTCCTCTGCGCTCTAGATGTTGTCTGTAATATCCATGTCAAGCCCTGTGCTATCACCAAAAAGATCTTCCAACTCTTCCTGCTCTTCTGTCGAAGGTGTCACTTCTGCGTTGCGTGTGTTCAGTAAAGTGTCGTAAGCGTCTATATCCTCGTCTTCTGCTACGAAGAGTGGGAGATCGGAGACGTCTGCATCAGATTGGACACCGTCTGACGTTGTGGCTACCTCTGTGATGGCGTCGTCGAGCTGCAACAGGGCTGCCTTGGTGAACCCTAGTGACTCAAAATGCTCCTTGTACTCGGTCCTGAAGATCTTGATGCTGACGTGGTTGACCATCGCCTTTCGCTCTGCCTCGGCGGCTTGGTATTCTTCCCATTGTGGGTCGCCTCCAGGGCTGCTCTTGCTGCTGCCGTCAAGCTCCCGTGCTTGAATCGGAGAGTGGCCCGCACAGCGTCTGATGTCTGCCGAGCGTTCTTGACTCGTTCATCTTCCTGCACGCGAAGCCGTCCTTTGTTCGATATCGTAGTTGGTGCCTCTGTACTGCGGTTCAGCGAGACTCCTGTCTGCACAAGAACCGATCGTTCTGGCATGTTCCGATACATGGCAGCAAAGTCCACGGTCGATATGCGCGACTTGTATTTGGGGAAAACCTGCCAGTAGTCAGCTTTAAGTTCATCATTGGCAGATCATTTGGCGTAAATCGATCCTTACCTGACGACTGTGACCCATCAGGAATACCCGGTCCTCTTCAGATGCACGTGTAGCCAATGTGTACGCTACACCGCGCCCCATGCAGTACGCAACTAAGGATTCCTCAAACCCGCAAAATTGACCCAGTCTGCGGATCTCGCTCTGCATATCTGTCGTCCATTGCGGCATCTTGGTGAGGCGATGGTCGATCATTTTCCGCAGTACCGGAACCTCACGCATGCTTGGCCGTATCTTTAGCCTTCGACCTGTGCTTGCAACCTCAGCGGGGAGTCGTAGAGACCGAAGACCGTCCCAGCTTCGGATATCGTCCATCATAGCCAGCGTGAGCAGCAGACGCAGTGTATCCTGAAGCGCCATGGACGTCGGCAGCAGGCCAGGAAATGGTACCGTCTTGTAGGCCGAGTCGTCGAGTGTTTTGCCTTTTCTCCATCTAATCTTGACCTGGGCTCGGATGTCGAACTCGTCATCGTCATCGTCGTCGCACTGGAAAGAGTAGAACTCTATATCCTCCCATCGCAGACACATATACTCAGGTCGTACGGGATTGCGCGCGAACTCACCCGCCCCCCGGCCACATGTGTCGACGACGAGAAGCATGTACAGCGTGAGGTTTAGGACTAACCTCATGCTCCCAAACGTCGACAGGTAGTTGGGCTGGTACAGCATTGTGATGATGAAGGTCAGGTCGTCCGAATGCGCGACGGCCTTGGTCTTCATTCGGGTGCTGAGTTTTTCATCAGATGCTAGTTGATTGTCGATGAAGTTCCGCACGTCATCCCGGATGGACGATATCTCATACTTCGTATGCCGGCACTCGTACTTGGTTGTGTAGCTCCACCAAAAGCTGTAGCAGGACAGCTTAAGAACTCCAGAATCTACATAGTGTAGAGGAATACATAGTGTCCAACCGCGAAGATCACGTTTGACTCAGTGGACCCGGGAGTTACTCAGCGATTTTGAGAGCGTCGTCTGACGTCGGACACAGAATCCTGGAGCCGACTTGTAGTGTTGATACATGTACTTGATGCCGTCGTAGTACTTAATGGCCTTCTAGGAGCGGGTGTGCTTAAATGTTGAGATTAATCAAGCACGTCGTATCGAGCAAGTGTTGTTGGCGGAATTGTTGCACCTCGGACTGCAAACACGCGGAGACATCTCTCTTGAAGTACTCTGTATCACATGGTCGTGGGGAGAATTGAGGGAAGAGAAGTAGTACAAGATAGTCAGGCAAGAGGATTCAATGGTCTTAAGAGCTATGGATTAAACGATCCAACGTCATGACGGCGTCAGATGTACCCCACAACGTGCTAATGCCTTTCACTAGTGCCATAGGGCCGGCACTTGGGCGGCATCGTATTACTCGAAGATGTCAGATCTACAACTGCCATTTTGTGGTCTAGAACCAGAGGTGTGGTACAAGTCGCGATGTTGAAGAAGTACGCTTTGTATCCGTCCAGACGATACAACTTGCTCCTAGACCTTAGATTCCCCATAGGGCATGAAGTCTTTGATGTTAAGAAAATCATCAGCATTATTGAATGCCCGGTCTTCAACGCCGTTCAGTTTCACGTGGAATGCAGTGCTTGGACATTATGAGTTGGGTCTATTGTGCAGTATGTTTCCTACTCGATCGTACTGTTACATAAAATCGCCGTCTAAGCGAAGCAAGATCTAACTTGAATGACTGCAAATAAACGCAAAACACATAGAAGAAATGTGATATCGAACAAACCCATGCCAGCCATTATGCAAGAAAAGACAGACTTTTTGTATGACAAGTCCACCTCGAGACCCGCTGTCATGGCTGTCTTGGTATCATCTCCTCCGTCACTCTCTCCGCATCGCACAAGACGATAACTTAGTTAGTCTTAGCGATTTCTACTCCGCCTGTAGCACCTAGTGCCTTCTTGATATCACCTTCCCGGAGTTAGCTTTGGGCGCGACAGAAGGCGTTGAGAAAAAAACTTACCGTAGATGGCGAACTGACCAGCGGTCAGGGTACCGACCATGAAAAGACGGGCACCGATACCACCGAAAGATCCGCGGAGACCGAGCTCCTTGGCGATCTTAATCAAACGGGAGGTGGTTCCCTCTCCGGGAAGACCCTTGGTCTTGTTAATCCTGGAGAGCATGGTGTCGGCGGGCTGGGAGATGATGGCGGCGGCGAAACCGGCAATGATACCAGAGCCCAAGTTGTAGACGGTCTGCATGCCGTTGGAGGTTTGGCTCTTGTCGACGACGGAGTAGACAGCCTCGTTGACCTTCTCGAAGACGGCGAACTTGGCCATGGTGTAGGGAACCCTGGTGGATGATTAGCCAAAAACCAACCTCCAATCAGAGGAATGTACATACTGCTTGAACAGGATGGGTCCGAAACCAGAGTAGAAGGCACCGACACCCTCGTTCTTCAGGATCTTGGAGAATCCACCAACAAGGCCGTTGGCGAAGGTTGGGTCACCGACGAGACGGATACGGGTAGCCTCGAGAGGGCAGAGGGCGACATCGGCGAAGAACTCAGCGACGGCGGCAGAGGCGAGGTAGACGGCAGTGCGGTTGTTGGCGGCAGTCTCGTAACCGACAAGGTTGATGGACTGCTGCTTGAAGAACTCGTAACCTCCGAACTTGAAGGCACCCTGGAGGAAGTAACCGGCAGCGGTAGGACCGAAACCGGTCCAGACAGCGCCCATACCCTCATTGGCGATGGTCTTGCGGAAGCCACCGATCAGACCGGTGTTGTAGGTGACGGGGTCAAGTTGTATCCTGGTCTTGACGCTGTTGCACATGTTAGCTTGGCATTCTGTCGTCATTTTCGACATCTGTCAACTGTCGCAAAGCGTGTGCGATGCAGGCATTGGCATCGTCCCGAGCCATTGGGGGGCGGCATAACGTACACATCGACGGGTGTGAGGGCTCCGTGGGTGACGGAGCAGCAGACGGCACCGGCGAAAGCGAATCGCGAGTACAGGGCCAGGCCAGTGGGCGCGGTAGGGTCAGCGGCCGCAAGCTTAGCCTTTGCGGCATCGACCTTGCTGGAGCCGGTGGCGGTGGGGGGAGGAGAGGTGGCCATTTCGCTGGTATGGAACGTAGAAGCGAAGGAAGTGGAGTGGAGAGGTTTGGTGGTGGTGAAGATGGACAGGCGGAGATTAGAAAGCCGCGATAGTTGATGAGAAGTTTTGTGCTTGGCGCTGGACCCGTTCTTTCCCGACTGCAATCCGGATATCCGCCCTGCAGCACACCCTCCATTCACATCACCGCGCCTTAGTGCGTGCCACCGGTGTCAATTAATCCCGCACCCGAATTCCGATGCGCAGGGCAGGTTGGTGCTATAGCAGTACTAAGTTTGCGCATTATTCTACATCGCTCAAGCCAGGCACCGCTGGCGTTCAGCCTTACGAGACGCAAAAATTGACATACATGAAGCGACGTACTGAGATCGATCGGAATCAGAAACCTCAACAACCGGAAATAAGGGCGTTATCTCCGCCAGCATCGCCAACTTCCTTTCGCCCTCTTACTCCTCCTCTTGGATCTCGTTGCTGCTATTCGGACTTTCCTCGCGATTGATCAGGCGTGTCAATCCAGCCAGGTCGTCGCGCTTCGCCGTTACAGCTTCCAGCAATTCACGCATGGGTTGCCCTATCAGCCCGAGCTGCTCGAGCATCTGCTTCGCTGCTCGACGTGTGTCCGTCACGCCTTTTAGTGTCTCCTCGATTATTGTCGCCGTGACGGGGTCGTTGAGGCGCGCCGTCATTACCTTTTTCCTCTCATCCTTATCGAGACTCTTCAGATCAGCACCAGCAAGTTTCACCATTCGGAACAACACGGTGTCATGAACTGTTTTCATGTCTTGCGCATTGTTTAAGGTCACTTCCAGCTTGGTCTCCAGATGCGGGAAGTGCTCTGCGAACTCATGGTTGAGACTGTCGTAGTCGTCTGCTTTGTTACATGCGTCAAATATCTCCTCCAGCGATGGAGTGTAGACGCCTGGATGAGGTTCTCGAGAGACCCGTGGCTGTGCTGATCGAAGTACAGCCAGATCCAGCAGCTCGTCGATTTCGGCCTTTTTCAACTCGTTCCGCGCGCACTGGATCTTGGCCATCAGTCCTTGTCGCGCTCTTTCTGCCAGCTTCCTGTTATAGGCTCTCCATTTGGTCTCGCATCGTTTGACTTCCTCCCTGTTATCATCTTCCTCTGCATTCTTTTTGTTCCTTTGATACGCACGTCTCTTCTTCTCACGGTCGAATCGGTGCTCCAGCTGCTCCTGTCCGCTCAACACCTTGAGAGCAAGGTATATGCCATCGTCCTTATTGGCAAGCTCAAACTCCTTCTGTCGGATATGCGCTAACATAATAATGAGCATGTTAAACGGATCCTGAGTCTTGAAATATTTGGTTTCTGGCCGGTATATGTGGATGGCTTTCAGTAATTGACGTTGAGAAGGTTCCAGGATACCATTCTGTCCAGTCTCGTTGTCCTGATTGCTGTTTCTGTTGTCACTGACAATCGCCAAAATCTTGTCAACAACCTTCACTCTTTCCCTGAGAGCAGCAACAAAGGCCTGACGCTCGGTCGAGTCACTGTTACGCTTGTCGGCAATGCGCTTGTTCCAAGTGAGTATTACGTCTAACATGTGTTCTTCTGACTCCTCGGTTCCCAATAGTAGTGGCTCTGAACGTAACGGAGCAAGCAAATCGTCGAATACCCGGTCATTTGGTCCTTCTGCGTTCCTGATTCGCTCCAGGATTGAGGTATCCATGCCCGGCTCATCAGCCCTTAACGCCGCTGCCACATCCCGGTACTGCTTTCCGTCCGCCACTTCTTCATCGATGTCAAGATGCGGTAGGCATGAAGCGTATTCTTCCCGACATAGGTCGTCGAGTTGGGCTATGGTGTCCTCGAGATCGACGTCCGACACCTCGTATTCATCATCATGTCGAGTCGACGAGGGCACTGTTCTGTCCCTTTCGAAAGTAAAGCGCTCATCGAATTCTTCCTGATCGCAATCATCGGCGGTGTTTGGATTGGCCTGACGCAACCAATCGCGCATCCGCGCTAGAGCCTCCGACCCACGTAAACTCCTCGCACTGATTTGTGGTACACCAGTACCATACATTAAAGCATCGTAAGCTGACTGGCGTTCTAACATTTTATTGGGGATAATACTGGTGCAGGTTCTGCTCGCACAAGACCATGGTTGTGGACTACATATGGATACTCTAGTCGTCACTGCCTTCACAATCAATGCTACACCAATAGCGTGGGATGCGGAATTCATACCCGCACAGTGATGTCTACGCATCGAAACAATCACAGCACGAGTTCTTCCTGCTCAGTCTACCTATGCTAATCACATGGCTGAGGTGCGTCGAATGGGCCAATCCACACCAGTGTGATTTTCGACACAACCATGGATCGCGCATCTCTACACTGGATCGCATGTCACGTCCACGGTTCACCATATTCATCAGAGTATATAAACAGAGGCCGCCGTGACTATTTCAAAATTCCACATTCAACTCTTCACAAAACTCTTTCACACACAAGTCTTTCACAAAAGTCACAAGGCCCTTCAAAAGCACTCTTCACACAACGCTTCTCATCCACCACCACCCGAAACCAGCCAAGGTTCCAGTCATGTTGCTCTCACAGCTCGTCAACGCACACTTGAGTACCATCAAGCCAAAATCTCAAGAACCAAAACACGCCGAAGACTACGAGCTCGACGCCATGCCATCTGAGCCGCATTCCTCGCCGTCTCCGTTCCCGTCGGCCCATC